ATCAAGATGAGTGGAGAAGATGAGAAGAGAGTTAGAAGGCCAAAGAACCATTCCAAATAAGACTTTGAGAATGTACTTTATAAGGAGCAAGGTGAGGTTTATGTGTATTTTGGAGTGAAAATCAGCTCTTTATTTATAGTGGTTTAGCTAAAGGAGAAAAAAGGGCCTTTTCGATGTGGATTTCACGTATAATCACTGTTAAGAAGAAAATTGACCATCAACATGTTGGCGGTCAACCACCATCCCTGGGCTGTTAACCACCAATGTATGGGTGGCTAGGGTTTTTTCAGTCTGGTTTAACTAACTTAATTCAAGTGATTCATGGTCCAATTCAATTTTGATTTTTTCATGTGATATATCGTTAAAAAAAATCTACATGTCTAGTTTTTAACCTCCGTATCACCGAAAAATTCCCTTTATAGCTCGGGCTATGCTCAAAATAGTGAAGAAATATCATTTCTAAGCTCTTTTGATATGCCTTGGTTTCATGCATGGTTCATGGCCCGTTTTAACTTGGATTTCAACGTGCCATATAGAATGCAGTCACAGAAGATGGCTGTTAACTTATATCTATAATCACTGTTAAGAAGAAAATTGACCATCAACATGTTGGCGGTCAACCACCATCCCTGGGCTGTTAACCACCAATGTATGGGTGGCTAGGGTTTTTTCAGTCTGGTTTAACTAACTTAATTCAAGTGATTCATGGTCCAATTCAATTTTGATTTTTTCATGTGATATATCGTTAAAAAAAATCTACATGTCTAGTTTTTAACCTCCGTATCACCGAAAAATTCCCTTTATAGCTCGGGCTATGCTCAAAATAGTGAAGAAATATCATTTCTAAGCTCTTTTGATATGCCTTGGTTTCATGCATGGTTCATGGCCCGTTTTAACTTGGATTTCAACGTGCCATATAGAATGCAGTCACAGAAGATGGCTGTTAACTTATATCCTTCATTCATCTCAATCAACATATATATACATGTTTACAATTACATCAGATAAGCATAAGTTGTTTACAAATGATAAAGCTAACCTACAGCTGTATACATATTTAAAAATAACTAATTAACTTTAATCTTATCACTTGGTTCAATACTCTCCTGCAAGATGGAGGTACCATTGCGTACTCCAAGCTTGTACCTATTTGAGATGAATGCTGACTTTGTCAATGGTTTTGTTAGTAAATCAACCAACTGATCTTTAGTTGATACATGAGATATTCGAAATTTATTCTTTTGGATAAGATCCTGGACAAAATAAAGATCAATTTCAATGTGTTTCATGCGTGAATGATAGATAGGATTGTGGCAAGCATAAGTAGTTGAGATATTATCACAGTATAACATAGGTGTTGACACCAATATCCCAAGTTCATGTAATAAAGAACTTACCCAAACCACTTCAGATGTAGCTGCGGCCACTGCCCGATACTCTACCTCTGTAGAGGAGCGAGCCACAGATTTTTATTTTCTGGAAGTCTAAGAAATAGGAATAGTGCCAATATACAGAACATAACCGGTTGTAGAGTGTCTATCATTGGGATCACCGGCCCAATCTGCATCAGAAAATGCATGAAAAATAAGAGAAGATTGTGGTGTGATCATAATATCATAATCGATTGTACACTTCTGATATCTTAATAGCCATTTGCGTGCATCCCAGTGCTGAGCAGTCGGACTTTGCATGAATCGAGACAATCTATTGACAGAAAAGCAAATGTCTGGCCTAGGCCAGGTTAAATATTGTAGTACTCCAACTATTTTTCGTAATTCAGTAGGATTAACGTCCAAAGATTTGGGTCCATTCTTCACTAAACATGTTGATGTTGCAAATGGTGTAGAAATACGTTTTGCTCCATCCATACTCGACACAGCCAACAAATTTTGAACATAATGATGTTGGGACATAAACAGACCTCCTTTGGTATGCTGAATATCTATTCCCAAGAATAAACTCAACTGCTGCGGATCTTTTAGTTAAAACTTTGAAGATAGCCTGGCTATGAATGACGTTATAAAATTATTACAATTCCCAGTAAGCAACAAGTCATCCACATAAACAAGAAAGAAACAAGTAATACTGCCCTGTTTATAGATGAAAAGTGAATGATCACTTTTGGACTGGTCAAAACCAAACTCGAGTGCACAATCACGCAGAGCTTCATACCACGCACGTGGAGCTTGATGAAGGCCATATAATGCTTTTTCAAGTTTACACACATAAGTGGGTTTTTCAGAATCCACAAATCCAGGAGGTTGTTGCATAAATACCTGCTCTTGCAGTGGACCATGAAGAAACGCATTGTTGACGTCCAACTGACAACTGTTCCATCTATTCGAAACAGCAAAGGTGAGAACTATTCGAATTGTTGCAGGCTTTAATACAGGACTGAAAGTATCCCCAAAATCCACACCTGGTCTTTGATTGTATCCTTTAACTAACAGACGCGCTTTATACTTTGCAATGGAGCCATCTGCATTTCTTTTCACCCGAAATATCCACTTGCAACCCACCAAGTTCTGACCACTACAAGAAGGAACAAGCTCCCAAGTGCCATTACCAGATGGCAGCCATCTGCATTTCTATTTCCACCCGAAATTAATCACTTGCAACCCCACCATATACTTTGCAATGGAGCCATCTGCATTTCTTTTCACCCGAAATATCCACTTGCAACCCACCAAGTTCTGACCACTACAAGAAGGAACAAGCTCCCAAGTGCCATTAGCCATTAAAGCATCAAATTCATTAGACATGGCCTTTCTCCATTCTGGAGTTTTCAAAGCCTTTGATACACATGTTGGTTCAATGGAAGAAGCCATACGATGTTTGGTAACAGAATTAATAACTTTTGGCTTAAAAATATTATTCAGAGACCTAGTCACCATAGGATGAGTACGAATATTTTGAACACTTTGAACTGGAGCAGAAATAGAAGAAGACTCAGTACCTGAAGTTGAAGAAGACGCAGAGCCTGAAACACGAACAGACCCAGACTGAGACAAGTCGACTAAAATAGAACACTGAGAAGATGATTCAGACTAACTCGATGAAGAACTCGGTAAAACAGTGGGATTGACAGCTGAATCGGACAATTCGACGATGGGAGTAGTCGACTGAACCATAGAATGAAAAGGGGAAAGAATTAAATCATTCGATGGACTCAACACAATTTTGAATTGCCTGTGTTTGTACTAATTGGATGAGGTGCAAACGGCACCGTTTCCTCCCCTACTCCAAAGTCCTCATTTAAATCATACCATACAGTAGCACTCTGTTCTTTCTTCCACAATTTCACACATGGGAATTGATTTTCCACAAAAATCACATGCCTAGACACATAAACCTTCTGATTTTAGGGTTCATAACACAAATATGCGCTTTGGCTCTTCTGATTTTAGGTTAACCATAACACAAGAATATATTGCGCTTTGTGCTCAAAAATCACGCCCCATGTCAAATAAACATTATTGGTTGGACTTTGCCTTCAAAACTCTATTATGACGTGTTCCGATGGCCGCAGAAAAGAGCAATAACACAGGCACGAAGAATTAGTTAAGTTATATTATTAATTGCGCGTTGCTGATAATTAAATAACTTGCTTGATAAAATGGTGGAGGACATTAATTACAGTATCTGGGTGGCTTGGTTTGCTCTATTTATCGAGAAAAAGTGGCTGCTCTGGAAAAGCAGATGTCCAAAAATTAAATGGGTAAAGCTACCAGATTGAAGTAGTGTAAAGAACTATTTTTGACCATCAGTGAGTCGATGACGCCTTCTCTGCAGCTCACATTTATGCTCGGGTTGCCGTTAGGCCCCCTAGGTGTTGTCTGAAGGATGACTTAATTCCCACTCTTTTGAATATGGGTTTTTTCTCAAAACCAGGTAAAACTCACCACCTCCATCTGTGTATAACAGGGAGACCAATCTCGGTTTTGAAAATATTTCTTCAACAAAGCTTTTGGAAAAACGGAAATTATATTAGCCACATCAGACTTTTCGCTTTTTAATGTGGGATAAGAAACCCATATGTACTTAGCTCATAATGGATACAACTAAATATTAGTAATTAATAAACTATCCATCGATCGACTTAAAGGAGCAGGGCCCCAAACATCAGAGTACAATTAATTCAAGAGGGACGATCCTTACATTAGTGAAGAGGACACCAAAAAAGCCGGAGTCCTATGACATCTTATTTACAAGCGAACAAGCGACGATATTGACATTAAAAAGCTGACAGCTATGAGTTCGGATCAAACTAAATTTTAGACAAAAGACCCGTATTAAACTGAACAAACCTCTTGGAGCCAAGCATGACCCAAGGCGTTGATGCCAGACCAAACGCACGACCCCTTCCACGAATTGACGAATGAGCAACCAGGCAGATCGCTGAGTTTTGGTGATTGAGGAAAGACGATAGAGGGAATCTTTGCTGGAGTTTCATATTATTTCTCGAAAATTTTAACTGTTCTCAAATCGAAAATTCTGACAATATATTTGGGCTTGGGCCCAACTCGCAAAACTTTAAACTCAAATTAAAATTGTTTGGTGATTATAACCCATATAGTCGAAATCGAGATTTTTGATTTAATAAAAATTCGAAGGTTTTGAAAATAAAAATTCAAGGTATTTCAGTTATATATTTATATTCGGGGTATACATAATAGTTTTTTGAATGGAAGTGTTTTATCCTTATCTGTCTATATCTTTATATATTCCATACATAAATATAGATAATTAAGTATTTGTTAAATAAAAATTAATAGATATATGAAGATAATTATTTAAAAAAATTACATATTTTCTTAACAAAAGTTTATATATTTATATATATCAAATCATACATATATAAGAAGTTTTTTCTTCATACATATATACATCTATATATATAACCAGTACCATCAGTAAGGGGTCGCTCATCCAAACCTTCATAGGGAGCAGGTAAGGCCAGGTTCTGCAAATCATTGGTTACATGATACGAGGCACCGGTATCAAGAATCCAATTCTGAGGACTTTGGAGTAGCAGCATGATGAGCTCGTGGCATAGGAAAGTTATCTTTGAAATAATCCTTAGCACCGAAGCATTGTTTAGCTATATACCCAGGTCTTTCACAGATCTGGCAAATAACACGTGAGCCACTAGAACCCCTGCAGTACCGTGTTATATTTTCAGAAGAATTTTGATTGCCTCCATAGTTAATGCTCTTAGTCGAAATCCCCTGATTTTGACCTTTAGAATTTTGTCGAACATGTGTTCCTTTCTGTGCAACATTAGCTGTAATTGGCGAGGAATCAAACGAAGGATCGACCGTTTTAAGATACAGCTCGTGAGCTTGGAGTTTGTCCTGCAGCTCTTCAAAGGAAATAATAGTATCATGAGCTCGAACAATTGCTGCTATATCACAGTATTCAGGGCCCACACCATTTAGAACACGGACTACCAGATCAACATCTGAAATTGGATTTCTAGATAGTGCTAAATCTTCTGAAATTGCGTTCACCATTTGCAAATACTCAAAAATAGAACGAGATTCTCTTTTAAAATTGGCCAGCTTGTCTTTGAGAGAAAGAATCCTTGTAGCCGATTTATTGGCACAAGATTTCTGAATTTTTTCCCAAGCATCAGCAAAAGACTCGGTTGAAGAAACAATATGCATTGCGGAGAAGCTTATTGCTGCAATAATGGCAGCCAAGATGAGTTGGTCTTGACAAATCCAAACCTCATAGTCTTTATTAACTTCATCTTTATCATTAGTACAAACAATCAGAGATGGACATTTAAGGGATTGATCCACGTATCCCATTAGATTATGCCCGTTAAGAATAGGGACAACTTGGGCACGCCAAGCGGGATAGTTCTCCTGCGTCAATTTCAATGGAAATTGAGTCGCATTAAAAGAAATAAGAGTTCTTCCAGAGGAGTGAGTAATATTTGGAAGATTAGATGGAGAAGCCATTGAAACAAGACTAAACTCAGATTTGAACAAAAAATTTTACAAGGGAAAACGAAAACTAGTGGGTTTTCGGCTCTGATACCATAAAATGTAGTCACAGAAGATGGCTGTTAACTTATATCCTTCATTCATCTCAATCAACATATATATACATGTTTACAATTACATCAGATAAGCATAAGTTGTTTACAAATGATAAAGCTAACCTACAGCTGTATACATATTTAAAAATAACTAATTAACTTTAATCTTATCACTTGGTTCAATACCATATTGCTGGAAAACTTTCTAGCTAGTTCCAATGGTTTCAGGATTGCTTCTATATTCCATCTATGGAAAGAAGTATGAGTAAAAGAATAAACAAATATCATTTTGGACTCTAGGTTAATCTTTGATTCTTGATTGATTGGCTACCAGTTTGAAATCATACTTTTTATAATTGCTTTACCACGATATGAATGTGTAAAGAATACGTGTTCAGAGATATTTAAAAATTAACGAACGATTATTCGATCGTTATTTATCTAAAATCACTCGTTGTTTATTACATGCCACATGTTGTTCCATATCCAGACATTCCCGTCGTGCACTTGCGCCATATTTAGCAAGGGAAACTGCTCCTATTGCTAGTCTAAGCTAATATCATTAGTCATTCCATCACTAATGTCTCAGAAATTCCTGCCTCTATTTGGCCCCAAATTTAGCTACGAATTGTGAATCATGTAGCTATTTCTATGGAAAAATCTATCCTGTCGGTCACTAATTAAATCCTACCTAATATTATTGAAATAATACAGGTCTAAATTGTTGCAATTATGTCACTATTTAACAACTGATTCAAGTCGGTCCTAAAATCAATCACTAGTGGATTGGTGCTTTATTATTATTATTATTATTATTATTTTTTGCAGTGATGAGAGAAATTCCTGAATGGGTCATAATGCCCTGATGGGCTTATATTGATCTATTGTATACTTGTTAAGTGGCCAATTATCACTTGAGGAGGAAGTGTTACATTATGAAAAATTCGGAAAATGGCTATGGAAAATTTCATAGCTAATTTTAATAAATTCTGACTAATCATATAGAGCAATGAAATAGCTGCTGGAAAATTTCTATCCCTAAAATGCTTGTAGCTAATAATATTACGGTCTGTCACTAAATTAGCTACATAATTTCTATAGCAATAATGAATCCCATTTCATTTCAAAATATGTAGCTAATCGGTAACTAAAATTTTGGTCTTTAATCCCACGCTAATTTGCTATGGTAACTATTTCATTATTTTTTTATCTTGTTTTTTTTTTTTTTGAAAGGAATTATTTTTTTGTAGTGTTAGAATATACTTATAGATATAAAAAATTATATGGTGTTAATAAATAATGTGAATTAACTAAAATGGTTTAGATTATTTTCCATTAAAGGTAAACCTAATTCGGTATAAAATTTATTTATTAAATAAATTGTTGATTTTCACAATGATAACAGTTCTTAGATGATTTTTTTTATTAAAAATAAACATATCTCATTATAAAATTTAATTATTAAATGAATTGTTAATTTTTATAATAGTAACGGTTGCTATAAAATTGGCCTAGATTTCACAATAATAACAATTCCTATAAAAATGATGTATTTATTTTTTATTTTTTTGAGAGTTGACTTAATTTATATCAATAAAATACTAGAACAAATTTAACAAAAAGATCCATTCTAACCGAGACCAGTAGGTCTAGCCTGTATATTCAGAGTCTAGGATTTTAATGTTAAGTCAACAAACCTGAAGAAGAAACATCAGAATTTAAAACAGATAACAAAAATTGAGTATCCCTCCAAATAGTAGGGCAAGCATTGAAAATTATGGAATTATCATATACAATCTAGCATCAGGGCCAAATGAACAAAAAAACATCTACTTAAAGGAGTTTTTTTTTGCAAAAACTTAGATTATTTTTACAATTGTTGACAAATAAGTTCTGTTAATTTTATCAACTGTGAAATCTTTTTCTTGATAATTATTACTTCCCATCACCAATTAACCTCCCTGTAATGACTGATTCAACTAATAAATAAAAATGAAATAGAAAGAGAGATATCGATAAATTGTTAAAGATGAAAGAGCAGAGCTAGGTGAATGCTGATGATGAACAAGGTTGATGGTGGTAAGTTTAAGCGATGATAAAGATCAGTTAGAATCAGAGAAAAGTTTTTGTTGGGTTCAAATTTTTTTCACAACTGTGCTTCGAAATTATAGAAAAAATTTGTAATGCCCTAGCAGGAGACGACATTGTTCATGCTAGGATTATTAAAGTAGAAAATTCACTTAGCCCTAATATTTCTAAGCAAGGGGCACACATCTGCAGTTTAACAATCACATCATTCTATATTAGATGGTACAGTGAAAGGATGCTACAATTGCTAAGAAAAAAAAAATCATGTACCAATTAACAAAATTAAACAAATTGGCCACAATTGTTAAAATAATAAAGGTTGAGGCTTTTCTTTTTTAAAAAATTGTCAAAGTTCTCTAGTGTGTGCCATAGAATGCACTTAACAGTGGAAAATTTTATCCAAATCGGTTTCATGCCCCACTCATGGACCAAACCAATGAGAATAAGGTTTCTTATTGAAAAGAGGGTATTTCTAATCTTAAACTGAAAAAAAAAAAAATCAAAAAATCGAAATATTTTTTAAAAAATTATTACTGTAATTGGTTTGATCCATAAGCTTGGCTATAGACCCGGTTTAGACAAGTAATTTCCCTAAGCTACAATATGTTAGAAAACAAATTAGTATAAGATAAAATACAACTAAAAGATTTGGCAGTAATTATAAAAACGGTTTAAGTGCATAACTTTTTCTCTTTATTTATTTGGCCTAATATTAGATTACATATGGGTGTTCGATGATAAAAGCAATATTTATTAACTCAATATAGTTTACTTCTAAGTTTTAGCTTAAAATATGATAGTTAATAATAACGATCACAAGTAGGGATGGAAGCGACACGAGTATTTAAGGGTATCCAATCCAATCCGTTTATTACGGATTTGGATAGTTATAAATGGGTTTAAAATGGGTATAGATAGTAAAATTACTATCCGTGACTGATTCGAGTAGAATACGAATTTCAGTCAATGGATATCTGATTCCCGTTAAGTTAAATGGGTAGCCTTGTGGGTATCTACGGATAGTTATCCCCATTTATCTATAATAATAATATATTTATCATATAAATGTTCGTTCAAAGATTTGAACTTTTGACCTTTTTTGAAAAAATATGAATATTTAAATAATGGTGGTGTATTTGGATGAATTTATAGTTTATATGTTGTTGTTAATTTAAGAAATTTTTATCCATATGTGGATGTTTCTTGGAATAACCTTAACTTTTTCTTTTTTATTTAAGAATCTTTTTTACTTAAGATTCTAATGTTAATGATTACTAGTTTTAATTTTTTTTAAAAAAATACTACTGGTTTGAATTTTTAATTTAAATGATATTTAAAATGGATTCTAATTTGGGTTATTAAAAATTTGTGGAAATCCTACCCGATTTAAACGAGTGTTAAACGGATATGAATAATAAAATAATTAACAGATTCGGATATGGATAAGTAAATAGATAGTTAAATGAGTTTTTAATGGGTATGATTAGTATAATTTTAAACGGATACAAATACGGATAATTTAAAATTCGTAGGCATCCTCCCACTTCCATCCCTAATCATAAGCATACACTAAATCCTTTCTTCAAGAGATTTTGGTGTTATGCTATAGGAAATTACTTGTCTAGATCAGGTTCATGGGCGCCACTTATAAACCAAAATAATGAAATAAAGTATTTTTTAAAAAGCGTTCGGACTTTAGTTATCATTTTTTTCCAAGTGTATAGTTAGAAATACCCTCATTTCGATAATAATCATTAATTTCATTGGTTTAGTCCACTAATGGGGCCATAGATCCATCTAAGTAAGTTTTTTCCACGTTAATAAATCATTGGTCTATCCAAATTCCTCGCATATTTCAAATTTTTGTACAAATTGGCTTATTATGGATTTACTTCTATAAAAATGCATGGATCTCCAATCAATACACACATATACAAAATTTACGAGAGATCCAATAACTCAGTATATGAATTATGAATGGACTATACAGCATGTGTGATGCAAAGCATTGAAACTCGAAACTTTGATCACTTTCCACCTTCCAATCCATATGTTTTATTGTCCTCCCTTTTGGTCCTATATTATTTCCTGATTTTTGCATGAAATGGTTAAAATAGCTTATCTTAAATGATGTTGCAGTTACTAATTTTGTTTTATTTCATCTGTTTTTGTTAAAGTAAATACATAAATAAATTATTAAACTAAAATTTTTAACAATATAAGTGAGTCTCAGTTTCAAATTAGACTTTCTAATTAGTCGTTAAAAGAAAAGTTACATTACATTCTCTTTCACAACTACATGGATGCATATAAATATTTTCTCCATGACTTAAGTATCTATTTTTTTATTCTTAATAAAACCTAATACAGGAACGGTACTATGTGCTTACAAGACAGCTTGCCGGCTGAACATTGCCAATAGCTATTCCATTAGCATTGTTGCATGTTGCTTCAGCTGGTTGGTTCGGGCACGTGAGCTTTATATCTTGTAATTGAATCCCAGTGCATGGGTACGTTTCACTGCAGTCAAATTTAAGTGCAACTTTTGTTGCTGATGATCCATGGATATCAAGGTAGGTCACATTACAAATTTTCACTCCAGAACCCTGTTTTCAATAATACATTAAATTTATTTCAATAAAAATTACGTTTCAATAAGTATGTTCATTACCATAAATTCATTAGCCTACCTGGATCGGGCAATTGTGATTGCCATCGCAGTAATTTTGGTCAATTATAATCGGATTTTTAACGTTGTTCATGATAGCATGTTGGAAATGAATGTCTGTAGCAAAACAATTGCTAGGTCTCCCCCAAGTCTTGATTCGAACGCCATTTTCAGTACCGGTGAATGTACAATTTGTAACAGTTACATTTTTCACTCCATTTTCTTGAGCTTCCTTTCCCAAACTTCCAATGCTGCACCAATCACGCATTTTATATTGTTATTACAGATATATAACAATGTCTGGATTGAGATTCGTTATATATTAATAGTTAAACTTGGCTTGGGTAATCTTTATTTTTACCTAATTCCATGTCCAGGTCCACATATAACTTTTTGAACCCATAAATTAGAGGTGCCAGGACCAACTGATACACAGTCATCTCCTGTTCCAATAGTAGAATTGAAAATGTTGACATTGGTTGATCCTGCAACGTGAATTCCATCGGTGTTCGGGCTCTCTTCGAGGGCTGAGATTTTCGCACCTTGCACTGTGACGTCTTGGCTATCGAAGATGACAATGTGAAACTTTTGGCTATTTACTGATGTTAATCCCGTGATTATAATGTTGTTTGAATTTATAAATTTAAGTGACTGCACATGCAAACCAAATATAATTAGAATAAGAATGACATTTTATAGACCTATAAATTCTTCCTACAATTGAACTTCCCGAAATGAAAGGTACAAATAATCGAATTTAAGCCTTAAGCAAACAGGGACCTTTCATGCACGTTCTTGAAAGGGTATAAAATTAACTCTAGCCTTTAAGATTATCTTTTTAAGTTTTGAAAATAAAAATTACCAAATGCAAGATTAAAAAACTAATAAAAATTAAATCACGTAACTTACCGTTGCACCGTTAGGGCAACTCTTGCCAGAGTTCTTGCAAGACCACAATCCAGAGCCTTGTCCATCAAGAATACCACCAGAAACTGTAACCCCATTAACATGTCTAAATGCTATCCATTCCTCTGAATTACCAATCACATTATAATCTGAAGGAGCCGAAAGGGTACCATCTATCTGAAAAACAATAGCATTGTTCTTGCAAGGACCGTCAAATGATACTGTCGTGCTTACAGCAAATTTCCCTTGTGGAACATAAACGGTGGCTGCTTCTGTAGAGGCACATGCTTGTGTCCAAGCAGCAAGCAAGGCCTTGCTTGAATCTGTCTGGCCATCAGGTTTGGCGCCATATCTTACGATATTGAATTGTAAGACAGCCATGGCCATAGATGAGGTAAAGGAAATTAAGAGAAGTACAAAAATGTTGTACTTCATTGTATGAGTCATTTATGTATGATAAGGGAGAAAAGATTGTTGATAAGAGAGATGAGGGATTGGAGAAAAAAAAAAAAGATAGCGTTTAGTGAGACTGTGAGGAGTTAGAACTAGATGTAGTATTTATAGGCATTTAACCTTTTTCTAAAAAAAAAAAAAAAAAAAGAGCAAAAAATATAAATAAGATAGCGTTAGTGGAGACTGTGAGGAGTATAGAACTAGATGTAGTATTTATAGGCATTAACCTTTTTTCTAAAAAAATAAAAAAAACAAACTTAACAATTCATTGATAACTAATAAATTTAAAAAAAAAAAAAAAAAACTTAACAATTCATTGATAACTAATACAGATTGAGTATACGAACGGTAATATTCCTATAGGAATAAGAAATATAAATATAGAAAAATGAAATATTTTCTTTGGAGATATTCTTGATCTTGGTATAAAAATTTAACCTCTTTTTATTTTCAGAAAGTAACTTATTCTCGAAAATTATTTTTAAAAGAAAATATAAAACATATAAACACTTTATTATATAAAAATAGAAAATAATCATCATCTTTTTTGTTTTTAGGGAAAGTTATATTATCATCTTTCCTTTTATTGTTCCTTCCACCTAAATTTTACAATATATTCATAAATTAAGGAAATTGAATTTTGGACTGAGTACATGAATTCATCCCTGAATTTTGTTACTTTAACATTATGGAATTTTTTTTAACTTTTATTTTGACCTATTAAACACTTCATTTGATAAAACTACACATATTAAACACTTCAATTTTCAAAATTATTTTATATAATCCTTCAATTTGTAAAATTAGATCAATTAAACACTAATTAAAAAATTAAAATTATGAAAATTATTGTTTTAAAAGTCATGCTAACTATGTATCAAGTCGATATTTTACAGATAAAATTCAAAAATCCTAAAAATTTTTTCTATGAGTGTCAAAAGGTATGCGATATTATCAAAATTTTTAAGTTCAAGTACACGATAAGTTATTCGCAAAGTTCAAAGTACCATAAGGTTAAACTTATAAAGTTTAGGGGGTGAACTTATGTATTCAACCTTTAATTTTGATCGATTAAATTGTGCTATATAAGACACATATTAATACAAATATATTCAATTATTATGATATAACACGTTACATTAATAAACCATAGAGCACATTGAAGAATTCTTTTTCTCAATAAAAGCGATCATAAAATTTATTATATGCTCATAAGCTTTATGAAAAAGTAAAATGTTAAGGGACCCCCTAGAGATGAGATGAGATGGCAAGAGTCCCTTCTCCTTTAACTAAAGGTCTCGAGTTCGAGTTTTGGATATGAAATCTTTTTAAACACTCGGGAGAGAGTGCTTTGCCCTCTTTTGTGGGTCTGCTCGGTGCAAATCCGGATTAGTCGAGCCAATCGACTTCAGATACTGGATGGTTAAAATCGAAAAATAAAATGTCAAGGTAATTTAATTTAAAATAGAGATAAATTAATTTGATCGGTTATATTGATTTCTTATTTAAATCTAGATTGTATTGGCTGAAAACTAAAGAAAGCTTCCATAATTGAATATATCTAATAATTGAAATTAATATCTTTCTTAATTAAAATAACAGAATCCTACAATTGTTAAAATATATTTAAAAAAGTTTAGTTTTTTTATTTAAGGTCTACTTAATTATCTATAACAGTAATAATATACTCTATTTTAAAATATAATATTATTTAATATAATAATGACTTGTTATATTAAGAAAGCATATAATATGTTAAAAGATTTTTTTTCCTCGATAAAGGAGATCATAAAATTAATTACACGTTCGTAGGCTTTAGCAAAAAGTAAAATGTTAAGTTTATTTAATAGAGACAAATTAATTTGATTGGTTTTATTCTTTTTCTGTTTAAATCTAGATTCTATTGGATAAAAACTAAAAAAAAGCCTTCCTTAATTGAATAGATTTAATAATTAAAATTAAAATCTTTCTTAATTAAACTAACGAAATCCTTTAATTGTTAAAATATATTTAAAAATTTTAATTTTTCTATTTAAGGTCTACTAAGTTATTTATAGTAATAATATAATCTATTTTAAAATATGTTATTTTTCAAAATAATAATAACACGTTATATTACTAAATCATATAACATGTTGAAAGAATTTTTTTTCTCAATAAAAGCAATTGTGTAATAACTATATGCCCATAGATTTTAGCAAAACTAAAATACTGAGGTAATTTAATGTAATATTAATTTGATTAGTTATATTGATTTTCTATTTAAATCTAAATTCTATTGACTCAAAAATTAAGAAAGTCTGAATAGACTAATAATTGAAATTAAAATTTTTCTTAATTAAAATAACTGAATACTACAATTGTTAAAATATATTAAAAAAAGTTTAGTCTTCCTATTTAAGGTCTACTTAATTATCTATAAAAATAATGTAAACTCTATTTTAAAATATATTATTATTTAAAATACTACAATTGTTTAAAATATATTAAAAAAAGGTTTAGTCTTCCTATTTAAGGGTCTACTTACAATATCTATAAAAAATGAATGTAAACTCCTATTTAAAATATATTTTTATTTAATATATATATATATATATATATATATATATATATATATAAAGGATATATATATATAAAGGGATGAAAGCATACTCGATTAGGTAGACTCTATTTCGTCCATCCTATTTAAGCTTTCACTTTTAAAATATTTCTACTAAATTATAACAGTAAGAACAATAAAAATTTTACAAGTAATTATTCTGTTAATTATATTCCTATAATTAATGAAACTTGAGATTTATTAGTTTTTAAAGAACTTTTAAGGCTTATTAGTTTATGCAATTATACTATAACTAGGAGAAGATCCGTACATTGCGCGGATCGTTTTGTTGCTATATATTGTACTTTATAATTTATAAAGTATATTTGATACATATTATTTTATGATTTACAAAAAGATAAAATAAAATATACAATAAGAACCAGTAAGAATATCTCCTGTAATGGAACCATAACTCTATCAAATCTGCAGATCAAGAGAAACATTAATAATGTTAAAAAGAACCACAGAGGAAAGCAAAAAACTACAGCCTGATTTTGAAGTTGTATGATCCTTTAAAAGCATAAAGTTATATACTAATTTGATACACGTAGTACTTGCTTCAAGCATAAAGTTATATACTAATTTGATACACGTAGTACTTGCTTCAGTTCAAAAATTTGCTTTGCCGGGTCATATTTATCTACCAAACCCTCAAATGCAAAGTTAAAGAAGACTTAAGTGATCAAGAAATCGCTAGTAAAATCAACAATCTAATTTCTTTTATATATTTCCTTAAATATTGGATGCATCCTAATAAAAGGAATTGCATTAATTCGATCAATATGCAGTGGGAGTTCGAGTTAATAATGAAAAAGAGAAAGAGTATCCATGACAAAGTTAAAATATATAAATAATAGAAATCAACACACCTCGCTTCCCCAATCTATTTTATCCTCACACCCACAACTGATAACATGAATAGCCTACTTAAGAAGAGTCTTCCATGTTGGAGATTGGGGAACACCACCATTCTCCATAAGTGTGGAAGCAACACAAATAGCAGACTTGCCAAACGTTTTTTACAGGCTCATTTGTGACATTAATAGCGACTTTCATCATCAAATCTAGGATCTAAATTTACAAATTTGCAAGGGAATATGTAATTAATCTCAAAGGAAACCAACCTTTCATCAATGAATTAAATTCATGCTACCCAGGCATGACTGTTTCTTTAAAAAAAAAAGGGCAATAGGTTCCCCTTCCCAAACCTATACTTTCCTTTAAAAAATATACACAGTGGGTACCGTAAACTTGGTTCATCTCGTCGTGGCCACTGTCGTTCAAGTGGTTACAGCATATATTTGAAAAATTCTTCCATTCTCATCATTGACAATCTCCTCCATCAAAAGATTTGATACACCAGCTGCAAAGAACAAATAATGATCATAAGTTCATTATCCTCAATTATCAAACTCATTTAAATAGCAACAATCTGAATTTCTTAAAATCAACATAAAGTTAAACATACACAGTAAATGATTCACTTTATTGCTCTGTCAATTCTAATGAAATGTCACTCTGTGTCCTTGAGTTCTTGAATGTAACCAATAACTGACATCATAGAACTTTTTTTTTTTTTTTTTGAGTATTGACATCATAGACTTGGAGTCTTGCTTACGAACACTACTTAGTTCTGCTTAGACCTGCGGACATTACTCAGTCTCATTAATATCTTGAAAAAAATTAACAAACAAAAATCACATAAAAATTCTTACTAAAGAGTTTTTTTTTTTTTTTTCAGCCTCCTGTTTACAAAGTAGATGCATCATTATAATAGGATTTTGTTGGTACACGGCTTTTAACTAATCTCTTCGCTTTTATTGAAACTGCCCATAACGGAAGGCAGTAGCTAAAAATCTCTAAGAATTATACGTAAAGATTTAAATAGATAAAATTAGATTTCAAATTACATATATATATATATAAATAGTTCAGATTAGATTTCAAAATTTGAATAAGAATTTAAATTACTTTTTATCTCCATTCGAAATATAAGATTAGATTAGATTAAATTGCAAAAGAAAAAAGAAATACTAAAAAGCCATTAATAAATGACAAAAATTGTAAAAATAGGAAAAAGGAAATATAGAAAGTGGCAACTCAGCTTTTTAATTTTTTTTTTTTTTTTTTTTTTTTTTTTTTTTTTTTTTTGCTTCAGGATTATATATATAGATAGATAGAATTTATTTCAAAAAAATTTATACTGTTCGTACTGTTTTGGTTCCAAATTTTTTTATCTAACATTTTTAGGTTAAGTTGTTTGGGATGAGCCTATTGGCTCAGATTTAGACACCTGAAAATATTAAGTTTTTCTTAGATTTATGAAAATTAATAAAATAATTAAATTCTCTGTCAATATATATACATATATATATATATATTGAAGTTTGTTTCACAATAATAACAGTTTATATATTTTTTATTCAGCACTGGGAAATGGAGGAATATTAAAGTTTTATTTCACAATCATATACAATTTAATTTCGGGGCCAAAATGAAAAAAAAAAAAATCTACTTAGAATTTTTTTATCATATATAACTTTTGCCAATTCTTTGAATGGTATCAATTATTTTTCCAATTATATTTCGTATTGAATTACTTTTACAATCGTAGCTTCCGTCGTTCTTCCATCAAATTTTCGCTGATGTAGCTGTTAACTTCAATCAATTATATATTACTTTTACAATCGTAGCTTCAGTCGTTCTTATAAACCTAGATTATTATACAGCTAATGAGTTCTTTTACTTTTATCGATCGATACTGTGAAATTTTTAATTCCCAATAATGAAATTACATCGTTCATGATAGGATTGTTTAAGTAGGTAATTCACTTACCGATAATATTTCTAAGTAAGATAGAGTATTTTGACCTATTTTTAGATTATATTTGCGAATACATATATAACCCGGAAAGGGTTAGCCTAACAGCAACCATACTAGATAAACTTCCGGCGGTTATGGGTTTGATTCTTGGGAGTGTTCAAGCAGAGTTAATTAATCCCGCTTGCGCTAAAGTCTGCCAATATTCATGGGATTCATATGGAGGGACATTTGCATGGACTCGAGGTGGAGAGTAGAAACTACGCCTGTCCATCATAAGAATATTATGGACAGACTATATATACAATATGCTCTTTAAATAATATTCACAAAATTAGTAGCCAGTGACAATTTTTACGATGAAGAGCATTCAAACTCGAGACCTTTCGCTTTCCACGTTTCAATCCATATTTTTATTGTCCTCCTTGTTGATGATATATTATTTCTTGATTATTGCATGATATGGTTGAAATAGCTTATCCTAAATGATGTTGCAAGTAGTAAGCTTGTTCATCTCTTTTTGCAAAAGTAAATAAATAAAATTATTAATCTAAAAAGAAGAAATTATTAAACTAAAAATTTACCAGTATAAGTGAGTCTGAGTTTCAAAATAGACTCTCTTACTCTTTAAAATAAAAATTATCAATAAATTATCAAATGCTCGAAGGTCACCTAACATTCTCTTCCTCAACTAAATGGATGTATATAGATATTTTCTCCATGACTTAAATATCTATAGTGTTATTCTTAATCAACCTAATACAAGAATGGTGCTACTTCTCTCCCTTAAAGGCAGCTCGTGGGTTGAAGAATGCCTAAAGCAATTCCATCAGCATTGGTACACGTTGCTTTAGTTGGTTGGTTATGATACGTGAGCTCTATATCTTGTAATTTAATCGCACTGCATGGGTGCGTTTTACTGCAGTCAACATGGGTGCGTTTTACTGCAGTCAAATTTAACTGCAACTTCTGTTGCTGATGATCCATGGATATTTTTGTAGGTCACATCACTAATTTTTACTCCAGAAGCCTGTTTTCACAATGGAAATTGCATTTCAATGAGTATAGAGTGCTAGGCCTAAATAAATATGTCCATTACCGAAAATTAATAAGCGTACCTGCCTTGGGCAATTGTTATTGCCATCGCAGTAATTTTGGTCAATTATAATCGGATTTTTAACATTGTTGATGATAGCATGTTGGAAATGAATGTCTGTAGCAAAACTATTGCTAGGTCTCCCCCAAGTCTTGATTCGAACGCCATTTTTAGTGCCAGTGAATGTACAATTCGTAACGGTAACATTTCTCACTCCCTTTTCCTGAACGTCCTTTCCCAAACTTCCAATGCTGCACTAACCACATATTTTGTATTGTTATTACATATGAATAATAATGATTGAGAATCATTTTATAAAAATATTTAAACTTAGTTTAGGTAATATTTATTTTTACCTAATTCCATGTCCAGGTCCACATATAACTTTTTGGATCCATAAATTAGAGGAGCCAGGCCCAACTGATACACAGTCATCCCCTGTTCCAATATTAGAATCGAAAATGTTGACTTTGGTCGACCCTCCGATGTGAATTCCATCGGTGTTAGGGCTCTCTTCGAGTGCTGAGATTTTCGCACCTTGCACTGTGACGTCTTGGCATTCGTTGATGACAATGTGAAACATTTGGCTGTTTATAGATGTTAATCCCGTGATTATAATGTTGTTTGAATTTGCAAATTTAAGTGACTGCACATGCAAAACCAAATATAATTAGAATGCGAATAACATTAGTGATCTTGTATGAATCCTTACAGAAATGAAAGGTATTGAATGAGGGTATTTCATGCACGTTTCTGAAAGGTATTGAATATAGCTCTAGCCTTTAATATGATCCTTTTCGATTTTAAAAATAAAATTACCAAATGCAACATTAAAAAAAGATAATAAAAATTAAATCACATAATCTACCGTTGCACCGGTAGGGCAACTCTTGCCGGAGTTCTTGCAAGACCACAATCCAGAGCCTTGTCCATCAAGAATACCACCAGAAACTGTAACCCCTTTAACATGTCTAAATATTATCCATTCCTCTGAATTACCAATCACATTATAATCTGAAGGAGCCGAAAGAGTACCATTTATCTGAAAAACAATAGCGTTGTTCTTGCAAGGACCGTCAAATGACACTGTCTTGCTTACAGCAAATTTCCCTTTTGGAACATAAAGGGTGGCTGCTTCTCTGGAGGCACATGCTTGTGTCCAAGCAGCAAGCAAGGCCTTGCTTGAATCTGTTCGGCCACCAGGTTTGGCGCCATAACTAACTATATTGTATCGTGAGGCTGCCATGGCCATAGACGAGGTTAAGGAAATTAAGAGAAGTACAAAAATATTGTACTTCATTGTACGAGTTATTTTTATATGATAAGAGAGAAAAGATTGTTGATAAGAGAGATGAGTTTTCGGAGAAAAAAGATAGCGTATAGTGAGACTGTAAGGAGTTAGAATTAGATGCAGTATTTATAGGCATTTAGAAACTTTTTTTTAAAATTTTATTTTTGATAGAGGGTCAATTTCTTTTTTTTTTTTCATTTTAGTTTAAATAAACAAAATCAAATATTTCCAAACTAGTCAAATTTAGTTCCTAAATACGGGTATTTATTTCCAAACTAGTCAAACTAGTCATCCAAACTAGTCAAACTAGTCAAAATATCCTATTCTTTCCTAATTGAATCAAAATAAATTTTGAATTTTCTTTTTTTAGAAAAATATTAATATTCGTAACTGAGTGAAAATTGTCATTGTGATAGATTTTTAATGATACGCTTGTTTTATTGTTTGTTCGGTAAAATTAGTTATTTTGGTAGCTGTTAATCGATTTGATAATATTTAGCTGTTAACTGTTTGAATAATTTTTTTCATGAAATGCTAAAAGCCAAACGTTATATGAGTTAACTTTTTACAAAGCACTACCTTAACCTCTAAAAACTAGTTAAAACGTTATGGTACCAAACACTATAGAAAGTAGCGTTTAGCATTTTGACTAGTTAAAATACTAAAATTTATTTAAAAAGTTGTTGACGAATATAGCATTAACTAGTTTCAAAAGATATTATAAATCTTAATGGAGTAGATATGATTCTCCTTACTAATTGTGTAAAATTCTGTCGTTTTATTAAAATATTATGTTTCTAAATTTAGTTCAAATATTTATAGAGTCTTATTAACTAAAGGTCTCGAATTTGAGCCTCGGATATAGAGTCTTTTTAAATACTCGGGAGAGAGTGCTTTGCCCCTTTTGTGGGCCTGCTCGGTGCAAATTCGGATTAGTTGAGCCAATCGACTCCGGATACTGGATGGTTTAAATCGAAAAATAAAATGTTAAGGTAATTTAATTTAAAATAGAGATAAATTAATTTGATTGGTTATATTGGTTTCTTATTTAAATCTAGATTGTATTGGCTGAAAACTAAAGAAGGCGTCCTTAATTGAATAGATTTAATAATTGAAATTAATATCTTTCTTAATTAAAATTACAGAATACTACAATTGTTAAAATATATTTAAAAAAGTTTAGTTTTTCCATTTAAGGTCTACTTAATTATCTATAACAGTAATAATATACTCTATTTTAAATTAGAATATTATTTAATATAATAATGACTTGTTATATTAAGAAAGCATATAATATGTTAAAAGATTTTTTTTCCTCAATAAAGGATATCATAAAATTAATTATACGCTCATAGGCTTTAACAAAAAGTAAAATGTTAAGGTTATTTAATTTAATAGAGACAAATTAATTTGATTGGTTTTATTCTTTTTCTATTTAAATCTAGATTCTATTGGATAAAAACTAAAGAAAGCCTTCCTTAATTGAATAGATTTAATAATTAAAATTAAAATCTTTCTTAATTAAACTAACGAAATCCTTTAATTGTTAAAATATATTTAAAAAGTTTAATTTTCCTATTTAAGGTCTACTAAGTTATTTATAATAATAATATACTCTATTTTAAAATATATTATTTTTCAATATAATAATAACATGTTATATTACTAAATCATATAGCATGTTGAAAGATTTTTTTTTTCTCAATAAAAGCAATTGTATAATAACTATATGCCCATATATTTTAGCAAAACTAAAATACTGAGGTAATTTAATTTAATATTAATTTGATTGGTTATATTGATTTCCTATTTAAATTTAAATTCTATTGACTCAAAAATTAAGAAAGTCTGAATAAACTAATAATTGAAATTAACATTTTTCTTAATTCAAATAACTGAATACTACAATTGTTAAAATATATTAAAAAAAGTTTAGTCTTCCTATTTAAGGTCTACTTAATTATCTATAAAAATAATTTATACTCTATTTTAAAATATATTATTATTTAATTGAATATATATATATATATAATATATTATATAATATAAAGGGATGATATATATATATAAAGGGATGAAAGCATACTCGATTAGGTAGACTCTATTTCGTCCATCCTATTTAAGCTTTCACTTTTAAAATATTTCTACTAAATTATAACAGTAAGAACAATAAAAATTTTACAAGTAATTATTCTGTTAATTATATTCCTATAATTAATGAAACTTGAGATTTATTAGTTTTTAAAGAACTTTTAAGGCTTATTAGTTTATGCAATTATACTATAACTAGGAGAAGATCCGTACATTGCGCGGATCGTTTTGTTGCTATATATTGTACTTTATAATTTATAAAGTATATTTGATACATATTATTTTATGATTTACAAAAAGATAAAATAAAATATACAATAAGAACCAGTAAGAATATCTCCTGTAATGGAACCATAACTCTATCAAATCTGCAGATCAAGAGAAACATTAATAATGTTAAAAAGAACCACAGAGGAAAGCAAAAAACTACAGCCTGATTTTGAAGTTGTATGATCCTTTAAAAGCATAAAGTTATATACTAATTTGATACACGTAGTACTTGCTTCAGTTCAAAGATTTGCTTTGCCGGGTCATATTTATCTACCAAACCCTCAAGTACAAAGTTAAAAAAGACTTAAGTGATCAAGAAATCGCTAGTAAAATCAACAATCTCAATTTCTTTTATATTTTTCCTTAAATATTTGATGCGTCCTAATAAAAGGAATTGCATTAATTCCATCAATATGGAAAAGAGAAAGAGTATCCATGACAAAGTTAAAATATATAAATAATAGAAATCAACACACCTCGCTTCCCTAATCTATTTTCTCCTCACACCCACAGCTGATAACATGAATAGCCTACTTAAGAAGAGTCTTCGATGTTGGAGATTGGGGAACACCACCATTCTCCATAAGTGTGGAAGCAACACAAACAGCAGACTTGCCAAACGTTTTTTACAGGCTCGTTTGTGACATTAGTAGCGACTTTCATCATCAAATCTAGGATCTAAATTTACAAATTTGCAAGGGAATATGTAATTAATCTCAAAGGAAACCAACCTTTCATCAATGAATTAAATTCATGCTACCTAGACATGACTGTTGCTTTAAAAAAAAAGGGCAATAGGTTCCCCTTCCCAGACCTATACTTTCCCTTAAAAAATATACACAGTGGGTATCGTCAAATTGGTTCATCTCGTCGTGGCTGCTGTCGTTCAAGTGGTTACAGCGTATATTTGAAAAATTCTTCCATTCTCATCATTTACCATCTTGTCCATTAAAAGATTTGATACACCAGTTGCAAAGAACAAATAATGATCATAAGTTCATTATCCTCAATTATCAAACTCATTTAAATAGCAACAACTTGAATTTCTTAAAATCAACATAAAGATTAAACATACACAAGAAATGATTCACTTTATTGCTCTATCAATTCTAATGAAATGTCACTCTGTGTCCTTGAGTTCTTGAATCACTACAAAAAAACGGCATTTTGCGATCGACCAATCGGTTGCAAAATGCCAAAAATCGGTTGCTAATTTGAATTAGCGACCGATCTGAGATCGATAGATATCGGTCGCCAAATACCTCGTCGCAAATCTTTTTATCGGTCGCAAACTTGAATAATCGGTCGCAAATTTTGGTCGTGTTTCATTTGGAAACTCTGTCGCAAATTGGTCGCAGAAAAAATCTGTCGCAATTTTAGTGTTTCATTTGGAAACTCTGTCGCAAATTGGTCGCAGAAAAAATCTGTCGCAATTTTAAAATTCAGTTGCAAATCGGTCGCAAATTGTAAATTTAAAATTTTAATTTTTGGTAGCAAATCGGTCGCAAAATTGAAAAAAACAAAAAAAATTAAATATTATTATAAAACCATAAATTTTTCGCACCTGTTAAAATTGACATATATACATATATATCACACAAGGAATTCAAGAACAATATAAAAATGTAATTTTTATTGCATTGAACAAAATATCAAAATACAAATGAAAAACTAAAAAGGTCCAAAATCAAATCTACGCTGCTGCTCATTTGCACGATCCGATGTCGGATCGCCGGGAGGGAGCTGACAATATCCTGGCAAATCTGTGGATGTGTGCTGTAAAGTGTCATAGGAGGGAGCCGCCAGCCGTAAGAATTTATTTTGGAAGTGAACTTTTAGATCCTATTTATCATTGTTATGAATGGTATTGGTATGTTAGCTCAAAGCATCGGGATCAGATGCCAGGTAGTGGACCGCTGCTGAGACGTCGAAACAATTTCGATCTGTAGGGGGGGTAGGGCGCCAGGATCAGAGGGAAGAAAGTACTAGCCACCGGGCTCACCGGACAGCCGCATCACATGCGCTCTAAGGCTCTGCAATCTTGTCTCTTGCTGATCATCAACACGAGCCCGTAATTCAGTAAAACTGCTTTGGCCAATGTGCTCGGGCTGTGGTCCTGCGCTTGGCTGTTGTAGGAGCGTTGAGCTGCTGAGTAAAATTAGCCGACCGATTATTAGCCCCCAATTTTTGCGACCGATTTTTTCGATCGCCAAAAAAGGCGTTTTTTTTGTAGTGAATCCTTGGCAGGACTCTTGTCTTAAATTATCCCATTGACCTCGAACCTCCAGGTACATCCAATCACGATTATTTCGGCATTTTTTTTACCTAATTAAACAATGTGTTATAAAAGGTAAAATTATTATGAAATTGCATTAGTCTAAACCATAACTTATATATTTATTTACTTACACATATATTAATAGATTTATTTCTTTTTCGAACATTAATTAATAAGATGTAATTTTTTATTTTTCACTTTACTTTCACTAATGATACAAAGGGATCTTCTTAAACTGTAATTTTACTAAGAATTTGGAAAGTGTTTAGAAATAAATAGCAAATAGCATAAGAATTTTTTATTATGTTTCTTTTATTATTTAGATATATTTCATTTTTTAAAAAAAAATTCGGCAGTACTTCGGCACAACACAACCAAATCTCAAATCAAAACACACTTCAATAAATACTTCTATATCATACCAACATTCTCCAAA